CGTGCGCGTGCGCGCGGTGCGTGTGCGATATGAAACAAGTTTACTCATAACTATTGGTATGCTGTTGAAGTGGAAAAGACTGCTCTGGACAGCACAATTCTGTGCTTAGTTTTTATGCTTTTCAATGTGCCATGGCTTGATTACGTCATCGTACAGTGCACAACGCCGATTAAGAGCCAATCGACGGCCGTTATATCTGGAAATTGCTCTCGCAAACGCTACATATGAGCGCCTCGACAATTATATTTGTCTGTGCTTTGATCACTGCACGGCTTATAAAATGGCAGGATCTGATTGGCGTCATTATGACGTCATGAATGCCAAGGGGACTTTGAAATACTCTCCGATATACTGTTCTTCTTGCCCACGAACGTGTAGTTCAGAGACTAGAGAGGCTTATTTTTTTAGAGAGGCAGAATTGTGTAACGGCGCCGAAGAGTCTTCAGGGTGGCTATTTTAGTTCAAAATCCCATATAAACGTGGAACTTTTAAAACTCACTCCTTTTAACACTCGCTCAGATACATAATCGTTCAGTGATATGCAGCCGGTGTCACCAAAATCTTGCATAGATAACCATAACTGGTCGTGTCTTATAGAGAGGTACAGCAAACGCCCCCCCCCCCCCGCTCCCCTTAAAATGGTCTGTGTGACACGGGATCGGGGGACCGGGATCGGTGGCGGGGCAAAGATGGCACACTGCTTTAACAAGAACTACACGGGCTGGCAAAAAGTCAAAGATTTCTGGATTCGGTTATTCCACATGACGCGTGGGTAATGGTCTTGGTTGTCAAAGCAATGTGCCTGCCCTTTCGTATTATTCCGAGTGTGCCCGGCGCGACAGCGTCCGTGTGGTGATTTATGTCTCATATATTGTCGTCAGTCGTGGATGCAAAGCGAATACAAATAAACATCAGATCAAATACATGCTCAAAGCAAATAGTCTGTAGTGTATTTACTGACAAGAGGACGAGACATCGAAAAAAACCAAAGCCCAGACGTATTAGTCGGTCACTTTTTAGTATGAGCGTGACGGAGTCTCAATGCTGGTCCAATCGGCCGCTGGCCGGCCGCAGCGGCGGTGGTTCTGCCCCGGTGGGCTCGGTCAGTAAATCAGCGTCGTCGGTTAATCCTACTGAACCTAAAATTGCATTTGTCACGTCATGTGTTTGCATTATTTCTCCAGTCGTTGGTTGTTTGCCAGTATAAGAACATTTGCCATGTGTGTGTGTGTGTGTGTGTCATTGGGGCTTTACGACGCACTCAGTTGCAGAGGCTATATGGCGTCGCCTGCCTCTCACCCTGGCAGGAGGGGCGGGCACTGCGGGGAATCGAACCCCGTACCTCTGGATTCATTTGGCGCTTTGGCGCAGTATTACTGAGAGCTGCTGATCTAATGGCGCTAAGATAGTTTCTTGATGTCAGTAACATTTTGGAATATCGTGTTGCGTATAAACCTCAGGCTGTCAGGAAAGCCAGCCCACACGGTACTCAATCAGGCGCTCAGATCGCACCTGTGTGACTTGGTTTGACCGGTGTCTGTCGACCTCACCTAACTTTACTCGACCTTACAGTTTAGAGAATGGTCAACAGCACAGATAAAGCAAACAAAACGTCATTAAACCGCCAGAAATATGTTAATTCTAAAGTGCAGGTCTTAGCAGTGTGGAACGACTTGACAGTGCATTCTGGATACAATGTTTCAAAATATTTCGGTTCGTTATGAGGCAATGTAATCTCGTGCACAAATTACATAATTTGCACTAATTAAGTACGACTCAAGCATTGTGCAATGTGTGCACGAAGTAAAAGCTCGAAGAACACGCGCTTGAACCAAAGCCTTATTCACGTGCCTCTGTCACGTCAACGAAGCGGCAACAAGATGAACGCACAAAAAACGTTTCGGGGTCTCTAGACCAGCGCCCACTGGACATGAGCAAACAAGCCCACCCTTAAGTGGGAACAAATGACGCCCGTCGGCATAGTGTTGCGCTAGGAAGCCCGCAAGAACACTAGTCCCCTCGTCAATAATATTTTCCGGAACCCTGTGACATGCCTTTATAACGTGAGTTATGCAGCAGGGCTGCCTTTTATTGGTAAGCGTTGCAAGCGTTTCGATTATGCATCCATGCATCGCGCCGCCAGAATTACTGTTTCGTCTTGTGTGGTGTGACTCCGGTGGTTCACGTCTGGGTATATTGTTCGTTGGTCCGCGAGGTTTTGTGGACCCATTTTGCTAATCATGCGTTGGTATGTGCCAGACGCACGTAAGGAGGCTTGCAGTGTCGGGCACATACACTCTGCTTGGTGCTTTTAACGTTGTTTGATCCGTGCTGGACGTCTATTGCTTCTCTGCAATGGCGTTTTTAGGTTTGGTGTTTGGGGAAATAATTGATTATTGAAATAGAACATCTTGATGACGCAAGCCAAAGGCTTGCTTTATTCTTTCGGCATATCTTGGAATATAACAATAGAATGCTGTGGCCACATGGCTATTGCTGCCACTCACCTTTGATATCATCACCTGGATGACGGACCCGGCTGCTGCAGACATAGAACATTTTGGCGCATTCGCCTTGCCTCCTTCCACATGGACCATCTTTGATTAGCGCCCGCAGTCGCCGAGAATGTCCATCAATGGTGTACTAATGTGTTGAACGCATTTGGCGCTGGCGTCATTGTTGTGCTGGGGACAGGTTAAAAACTGGTCGGTTTGTTTTGTACATTTGTACCCCGTTTTGTACATTTGAAGGCAGTGTGCCACCTTTGTCTCGGGTTTTAACCTGAAATAGCTATCTTGAAAATCATTAGTGCGGTTCACAGCCCGCCCTTCTCAAGAACTGCCCATGTAGTTTCTGAGCCGTACGACCGCAAAATGTGCAAACTATTTCGAGGTTACGCAGGAGTCCACGACGCCATAATAGTCCCACTCAAATCCTGTCATTCCATGGGCCGTGCGGCGATCAAGGCCAGTCCAAACTAACTGTCGAGTTATTCATACCTGGCTTTCGTGAGCACGATTTCCACATATAACGACCGTGAACTGGCCCTCATCCAATGTCGTGCAAGGTACGCGATGTAACCAAACAATGACGTATTGAAGAGAATGTGTACTAAACAGGCAAATTGTATCTTCTAGAGCAGTCTTTTCGACTTAAAAGTATAGCAAGGGTTCTACGTTACCTTATTCCATCATATCTGATGTTTGCTTTAATATCTTCAATGCGGAGCATTTCCTTTAATTTAATCCGACCCTCTTATCCTCTTTCTAGCTTTTCCCGCATCCTCTCGACGCCCGGTTTGTCTGGAGCAGGCTGCATTCGCCGGCCACGAGTGGGCCGAGAGACCCCTTGGAGGGATACCCTACCGGGCGCCCAGCGCATACCCGCTGCACGTGCTAAAGCTCGGCGGTGGCCCTCCAGGAGCACGTGGTCCGGCCCCACCGCCATCGGTAGATGACGTATTTCCAGGATTTGTTATCCATGATTTTTGGTTCTGTAGCCCTGAAATTATAATTACTGGTGGAGTGGGCTGTAATCGAAATAATCGAATTGCCAAGCCTTTAATTTTGTTCTTTTATTACAGGCAGACAAAATCAAACTCAAGATCACAGGAGTTTCCGGGGAAATTAATTGTCATTACTGGTGGAATAGGCTGTAATCGAAATAATCAAGTTGCCAAGCCTTTAATTTTGCCGTTTTATTGCAAGCAGGCAAAATCAGGAACTCAAGATCACAGGAGCTTCCGGGGAAAATGTCTTTCTGAAACGCAACAACATTCCGTGTTTCATAGGAGCCGCAAATTGACCGAACGGCCCCTATAAGATCATCATGGCAATGATGGAAGAAGATAATACAGTGTGCAGCGGAAGCTCACCAAACAGTATTGCGGAGATCATCACAGTCAGTGACGATGATGAGGTTGATGTGACTGTTTGTGGCGACTGTCTGGGTGTTGTCCCCCAGGGCCCGGAGGGAAGCGGTTCGGAAGGGAATTCGGATGCTGGATCCGTCCCCAGAGGCTCTGGGGACGGATCCAGCATCTTGTTGGATCCCCCCCGCTTGTTGGACTCTCTGGTGGAAATGTCTGCAAGGTCAGGCTTGCTTTCGAACACTGATGTATTTGAATGTTGTATCTGTTTTACGGATGTGCCCCAAGGTAAAGGCGTTGTCTTACAGGAGTGTCTTCATTCCTTCTGTGTTGATTGTTTGACCGATATGGTCAAACACTGCGACGAGGTGGAAGTGAGGTGTCCGTATTCGAGTTTAGAATGTGCCTGCCATGGCAAGCTTCTGGATGGAGAAATCAGGGCTTTGGCCAGTGATGAGGTCTTGGCTCGCCGCGCTACGCTGTCTCTGCGGCATGCCGGGCTGGACCTGGCCACTGGGGAGATGTGGCCGAGTTTGGCGGAGACGGTCAAACGGCACCTGGTGCTCAACAGCGTGCGCTTCGACTGTCCCATCTGCTTCACAGCCGTGCCGCCAAACGCGGGGGTGGTGCTCAAGCAATGTCTGCACGCTTACTGTCGCTCGTGTCTGACCAGCGTGTTGGACAACAGTGACACGGAGCCGGTGCCCTGCCCGTGCACGAGTTCCGATTACGCGTGTGAGGGCTGGCTGCTGCAGGAGGAGGTCCGGGAGCTGCTCGGCGCGGCGGGATTCGCGCGCTACCTGGACCGCGCGCTGGCGCAGTCCACCAAGCGCCGCTCGGACCGACAGATGTGGCCGAAGCTGCAGGCTGCGGGCCAGCAGGACTTGGCTCCCAACGCCGACGCCTTCGACTGCTCCATCTGCTTTTGCGAGGTGCCGCGGACGCCGGCGTCGTGCTCAAGGAGTGCCTGCACAGTTTCTGTCGTGAGTGCCTGGCTGACCTGGTCAAGCACTGCGAGGCGCCCGAAGTGAAATGCCCGTTCGTCAGTGCCGAGTACAGCTGCCAGAGTACGCTGACCGAGAAGGAGATCCGGGCGCTGGTCGCGGACGTGTATGAGCGGCACCTGGCGCGCTCGCTGAACCAGGCGGAGGGCAACACGGCCAACTCCTTCCACTGCCGGACGCCCAGCTGCGCCGGCTGGTGCGAGCTGGAAGACACCGTCAACGCCTTTTGCTGTCCCGTCTGTTCGTGCGTCAATTGCATCACGTGCCGTGCGATCCACGAGGGCTCCGACTGCCGCCAGTATCAGGCTCGTCTGGCCGAGGACGCGCTACACAACGAGGAGGCGCGCAAGACGCAGGAGTACCTGAAGCAGATGGTGGCACGCCGCGAGGCCATTCACTGCCCAGTATGCGCTGTCATCCTGATGAAGAAGGACGGCTGCGATTGGGTCGTGTGCTCGGCCTGCCGCAACGAGGTCTGCTGGGTGACGGGCAAGGCGCGCTGGGGCCGGCGCGGCCGCGGTGACATCTCGGGCGGCTGTCGGTGCCGCGTCGGTGGCAAGCTGTGTCACCCCAACTGTAATAACTGTCACTGAGCGTGGCCGGCGCACTCGCTCCGCTTGCAGTGCTAGCGCTGCGGTTCGCGCGGATTGAGGCGACGCTCACCACACAGGCGTCGCCCTTCTCGGTGATTCCAATACTGTGGCCGGGACGTAGTTGTCGTCTTCTCGGCTGGGACCGACTGTGGATACTCGCTTGCCATGTTCAGATCAGTGCCTATTGTGATTACGTGGTAGGATGCTGTGAAATATTGGGGCTGTTGCTGGAGGTGGGTGTGATGCGGGGACTTCATCAATGTTCGCATTGTGCCGGCGTCTCAACGTGATATGCATGTAGTTTTTGTAGAAGCGGGTGATTCGTACAAGGAGGTTGTGCAGGTGAAGTAACCTTGATGCCAGCGTAGTGATTAGCGAAATGGTCTCGGTGTCGACGCACCATTGGACACCCAACTCGGGGGCCAAGTGTTTGTCACTTATCAATCGGATCTCGGGTCAATCACTCATCACATTCACGCAGCCTTGACCACGGGCCAGTTTCCCTTATCGATCATTACCAGCGTGGCTGCGGACTGATGATCTGATCTGATGGCTGATGATCGCTTATCACATTCACATAACCTTGACCAAGGGCCAGTCTCCATTATCGATCATTACCAGTGTGGCAGCGGACTGGTGCACCCTGTTATAAATGCACCCGTTACACGGCCGTGGCGTGCGAGCTTTTGGTATGTGCCTTATAGGTGAACTAGATGCAGGGCTGCAAGTGATATTTGAGATAAAGGCTGACCATGCGAAGTTGTGCTTTCCGAGTAAGGCATTTGCTAGCGGCACTGAGACTTATGCACACTTTGCGTCTCTACGCGGTCACATTCAAGTGTTGCCAAATGTGGTGTTGCGACCAGAATAAACGTCTTTCCATTCTACGTGAGGTTTTTATTATGTGCCTTCTGCGGACATATCGGGCCGCCTGTCATTTTCGTTTTGAAACTGGATCTGGGGTATGGAAGACTGGGTTTCTTCCAGTTTTGTCGGACCACTGGGGCCGGAAGACGCTGAGATGACGCAGGCAACGCTCGATTTGCAATAATGTCGACGCTCGGCCTGTTCCACTAGAGAAAACTGACGACTGTCACACGTGATACGCGATAGGCAGTTACTTGGGTGTTGTTTGTCTCCTGTTGACACGCTCTTTCCACCATCGAAATAGAAAGGTGGACATGTCTTGCATTATATGTTTGTAATAGGCGTTCATACCACACAAACGCTTGGTGTTTCGTTTCGCTCGATTTCACACGCCCTGGACTTTTTTGTGTGACCCAGATCCATTTGGCACCCAGAAGCCTCTCAGCGCGGAGGAAAGGCAAAGTCGCTGATTTGCAGACATAAGTCAACGAGATCCGGCGATATGCAACACGAAGGCGCCCTCAGGCTTCGCGTCAAAGCCCGCTTCGTCCTTTGCGCAAAAGTAATTTGGCGTCCGCAGGAGAGGTTTCTCAAAGCGTGCCCTCAGGCAGAATATAAGTCGAAGTGGGGGGATATCCGCCAAAAAGACAAACGATGACAGTAAATATCGAGTCGGTCATTGCTAAAGACCTTTTATTAGTGCCCTAGAGTTGCCGACTTTGGTTGTAAAGGGACACCCTATGAGGAGGAACTTTTCGCTCCTTTCCCCTATATTTGATGTAAATTTTTCACTCTACATGATATTGTCTAACCACACATACCAAACCCAGATTTCACTTCGAGGTTTTAAGGTGTCATCCAAACCGAGCTCACTTGGAATTAACAAGCATAAGCAAGGCTACACAGACCTGGACACCCTTGGGTATATCCTGCCTCACCTACATCTGGATCATTCCTATGTACGCGCAGAGCAAGGACGCCAGGTATGTTCAAGTCCGAGAGCCTCGGCGACTCCAGGCGCTTGCATGCACCAAGTTTGGTTTGTTTTCAAAGTGCATCACAATCTTTAGCTGTGTTCCAAATGCAAGGTTTTCACGCATCCACAAATTTTTGGGTCACACCACGTAAGCGCCACAGCAAAGCAAAACGTGATGCAAACACCAGCAAAGCCTGCAGGGAATTTTACCCAACATATTTTTTATCCTTAGAAACTTGATCAATGAATTGCAATCACTCCAAAATTTAGGAGTGAAAAATTCAAGTAATACCTTCTAAATGAAACCTAAAAGCTAAACATCATAATTTGCAGCACATTTTCACCGACTTTTAGTCACGTTAGGTGATTTCAAAATATGACAAACAGCTGTAAGCGCCTATATTTATTTCATTACTTTCTGTTTTTCTTGGTCCATACGAGTGTGATACAACTTCATTTTCCTTCCTTCCAAACCGCCTTTGAAGACGCTATCTATCGCTTGAAGTGTTCACCAATATCGGCAACATGTTCGAACTGCAAACTTCCACACATTTCATACATAACTTGGATTAATTCACCAATCGCCCCAAACATGTTTGATATGCACCCAAGAGGTGAACAATCCATAGGGAATGAAGGAAACAGTTTGAAGCACGGAACTTGCATGAAAATGTCACAGGCGTCCTCCGCATTCCCTGGAAACCCTTGCGACCTTTTTCCAACAAGAAAGGGAGCTCCTTTGCTCCCGCCCGGCCGTCGCTAGCTCACCCAATGGGACACTATATCAGGAGTGCGGCTGTCAAGGGCACATATGTCCAAGATACATGTTGTGTTTTAACGAACTGTCGTTGGCGTCCAATGGGTGTTCCCCAGCTCCATCATATACACCCGAACGGAGCCGCTATGTGCGAAACAGTTTTTGTAATTGACGGTCATATTTTTGCAAACCCCCAATCCAATCACCTTGTGGCGTGGTCAGTGGGCACAGGGGCCACGTGCCCTCCCTAAGATTCCGAGGGCCCCAAGGGCCCCTCGGAGCCTGGGATCAAGGGCCCGAAAAGCCAGCCGGAGGTCCCATTCAGGGGCCTGGCCCGCAGGGCGCCGTGCACTCCAACGTCAGCCAGAGGGCCCTGCGCGATGATTAGGAGCCCACTGAGTGGATAAGAGCCTGTATTTCGGTCAGACACCACCAGTAACGCACCAGTCGGGCTCCATGGGTGACATGGACATAAGGGCCCATTTCCTGAGCCGGAACAAGCCGGAGCCAACGATTTTGCATGCTCAGGGCCCAAAGCGCCTAACAGGGGTCCTGAGTTGTCAAGGGACCCCGATTCGGCCTAAGGACAGCGTTCGAGGGGGTCCGAAGAGCCCAGGGGGCCCACGGATTCGACGATCAAGGGCCCAAGTGGAGGTCCAAGGGTATAAAGGGCTGATCGGAATCGGACTGCGCAACGACATATCTTTCTGCGAAATTGCATGGGTATCGCATTGCAGTCAAGAGGGTCGGGGAAAGGGATGTCGGTCAAGTCAGCCTTATATTCATAGTCGAATTAATGTCGAGTTCAGATTCCAAATGAGTCTCATTAAATCAAACGCGATGAGGTCATCACGAATCTGCAGTTCCCTGTTCTGTAAGCAGTAGCGCAGGCGGGGAGAGGGCACAGGGTCATGTGCCCCCCCCCCCCCCCCCCTCCTTCCTTAGGTTCCGAGGGCTGAATGGCCCGTCGAGACCTAACAATTAAGGGTCGAAAGAGCCCGAAAATCCAGCCAGAGGTCTAATTCAGGGGCCCTGGTCCGCAGGGCCGGGCACTCGAATGTCAACCAGAGGGCCATGCGCGTTGGTCAGGGGCCCCCCTGAGCTGAAAAAGGCCTGTGTTTGGCCCAGACACGAACAGTAACGCACAGTCGGCTCCGTGGCGGCATGGGCCCAAGGGCCCATTTCCCAAGCAGGGACAGAGCCGGAGCCGGTGATTTCATATTTCTCGGGGCCCCACAGGTCTAATAGGGACCCTGTGCTGTCAAGGTGCGCCGAGTCGACCAGATGTAGTGTTCGAGGAGGCCGGAAGAGCTTAGAGGGCCCACCCGGTCCGACGATCAAGGACCCGGTGGAGAGTCTAAGGGCAGGAAGAGCTGGTCCGGAGCCTTATTCAGGGGCCCAGAGCTGCGAAGACAGATCCTCAAATAATGGTCAGAGGACCCTTTGCGCCGATCGGGGACTCCCTGAGTCGATACGGGGCTATACGTCAGTCAGGTACCACCGCACCGCACAATCGGCTCTGTGTCGGCATGGAACTGAGGACCCACGTCCCAATCAGCCATAAAGCCGTGGCCAGTGATTTACACTGGTCGGGGCCCTTGCATCTGTCAGGGGCCCACAACACCTAACAGAGGACCCTGTGCTCGCAAGGGAAGTGTTTGATGAGGCGCGAAGAGGGACCGGGCCGGCCCACCGGAACCGACGATCAAAGGCCCGGTTGGAGGACAAAGGAGCCCACAGAACTGACAGTAGGTCACATAAGGAGTCGCGGTCCCTAGGGTTGCGCCTACAATTTCAGCCAGAGGTTCTCTTGCATCGTTTTAGGAACCCCTGAGACAATGAGGGTGTCTAAGTTAGCCAGAGACCACGAACACCGAACAGTTGGCTGATTTGAAGGTCCCGCGTGAGGGAGCGGATCACTAATGTATGATGTATCCCTCTAAAGGTCGTCGGATCGTCCAGGGGATGCTGCCCCGTGTCGCCTGTGAATCAGTTGAGGCCTACTACCCAAGCAGAAACGAGGCTGGGGTCCGCCATTTGCATGTTCGGGATCCCTGGCACAACGAGGGCTCCTGTGTCGGTTAGAAACCACACTGGTACCTAACTGGGCTCTTTTGGCGGCAAGCGGCCCCGAGTCGGGGCAGTGTTTGAGGTGGCAACGAAGAGGGCCGAAGGGTCTCCCGAGGCCAAAGATTAAAGGCCTGAAGGGTTCAAAGGGATGCTGTAGGTTACATTTAGGACCCACCGCCTATGCGGCCGTGATCTCGAAATGTCCAGTTAAATATTTTTTACCCAGATAGGGACCCCTGAGACAGAGCGTTCCTCTATTCGAACAGAGATCACGAACAACAAGCAGTCGGCTTTCCGTGTAGTGGGGAGCTCTGGGGCCCAATTCCCAAG